GCTGGTTTAAAGCCCGCACAGAATGAAAACTGCTGTTAAGAATTTTAAGTGGAAATAACACTATCAAAATACATTTTTGTAAAATGTTACGTGCAGAAGATTGTTAGCTAATTCGCCCAAACTGAGCAGTGGACTTCTCATCAAACCCAGGTATGTGTCTGCCTTAGAGGGACTCCTCAGGGTAAAGACCAGAAAGGGGAAGTCAAAGCTGACAGCTGCAGCACAACTCAGCATGCACCTTTTGTCCTTTACTGTGGAGAAATGGATAGCAGTGGCCATTCACCAGCAGCCAAGCGCTCTGGCACACCCTACACACCCCGCACGGATGGCCTGCTGTGCAACATGGAAAAGGCTGCTTTCCAGTTGAGGTGTAAAGCATCAGGGTCTTCCCAACACAAGCATGAACTACACTTCTAGAAGAGCAGCTTCCACAGCATGGGAGTCTCCGACTTCACAGGATGGCTGAGATTGGAGAGAAGCTCTGGAAGGCATTTGGTCCAACACTTTGCTCAAGCAGGACCACCTGTATCCAGCACTGGATACAGGTAAGCTCTCTTTCGCCACATACGAGCTTCTGTCTCCTGATCTCTTCTGTACCTCTTGACCTCTCCACAGCTAACCACAACAATGAGGATGCCAAGTGTGTACACAAATACTCTAACATGCTTTAGAAATACACACTCCCACCCATGGCACCGGGTAAGACAGAACAGAGATAAAAGGTTCTGAACTATGTAGACAGAGCAGTTCCACATGGAAGGATATATCAAATGAGCTTGGCAGGTCTCAGCTCCATCTCCAAGAGAAGTGTATGAAGCTGATCCTGAGGGGCCACCCAAGCTTTACAGCTCATTCAGTCTAGACTCCCTCTTAGACACCGCAGAAACATCAAAGCCCAGGAAGATTACTTTGTCCTGGCATTTACCAGAATAGTCAAGCAGCAACAGGGTGTGAGAGGGCACTTACATCCACACCCACATCTGCAGCAGTGGGCATGTGCTGCCATGCTAGACCTCTGTGCCAAAACCAGCTGGTGCCAAACTGCATTCCCACTGGCAAGAGGAATGAAGATGTAAGAGCAGGTGAATGCCTGGACTAGCCTGCCAGTACAAAATCAGGGTATGGCATGGTGCCTAAGTGATGGCAGAGCCATGGCAAGATTGTGCCAAGGCAAAGGAAGTCACCAGCATGCTGAAATTAGTGCTACAAGAGGAGCAAGAAGCACAGTGTTACGAGGCTCTGGGATAAGTCTGGCCACGGGGAGCAGTGCTGGGATGGATTCTTTCAGCACTACAGAGTCAGCCTCAACAGATGGATGAGGTTCAAGGGCAACCACGCAGGCCTGAAGCAGTCTCAGTTCTGTTTCTGCAGCCAGGAAAACAGCAGATGATGACAAAAGCAAACACCTTGCCAGTGACATCCTAAAATGACCTTCTTGGGATTAAAACTACACAAAAGCCTTACAAAGAATGGAGGCCAAAGAAAGCTTTGCATCACTTCTCTGAGAGTGAAATTGGGAGCTTTGCCAGGGCCTGTACAAAACTTGTAGGAGAGGCAGCAAAGGAACCTTCAGGTACAAGAACACCTCTGAAATAATTCAAATACCTGGAACTGAGTTAAAAAATTTATTCAATCCCTGCAAGCAGCAAAAAGACAAAAAAGAAACCTTTGGTAAGGGAAATGCATCCAAACAGGGCAAGAAATTAGTTTAGGCAGCAAGACAAAAAATGAAGGAGCAGATTGAAACTTGATACAGCAGCTGAGCTGAAACAGTGGCAGGTGAATGCCTCATTCCACAGCCTGTTCCAAAGAAAAGGAAGAAGAAAAAAGGAGACAAAAATACACCTTGGGCAGATACTTCAAGTACACAACTGCCAACTTTTATAGAAGGATACAGTGCATCACAGTGGCAGCATGTAAACATGGAATTTCATGAAGAAAAGGAAATTACTATCAACATTTTTATTAATATTTGAGGATATAACCCTTCATTGTAATTTCTGAAATAATTCAAGTTCCAGATAAGTGCCCAAAAAAAAAAGGGTGGACATTTAAGCAAATTTTTAGCCCATGCTAAGTCAAATTAATTAAGAGAGGTGTTGTACTACATTAGCATCACAGTTCAATGGAAATGATCAAGGAGGGACACAGGAGGTCTGGGGCATGCACCTCATTTGCAGCCCTCAGCATCTCACCACAGATTAGCTTAGCAAGCTTAAGCAGTCCTTCAGAAGAGAATCTAAATTATTTTCAGTAACAACCGTTCTCCTGTTACAGGTCCCTCCTCCTTTTTTCCATCAAAAACTACAAGTATGTCATGCAGCACTGGGTGCAGGACTGTGGTGGGTTGACCCTGGCTGGATGCCAGGTGCCCACCAAAGCTGCTCAGACGGATGGGGGGGGAGAAAACATAACAAAAGGCTCCTGGGTTGAGATGAGGACAGGGAGAGATCACTCACTCAATTACAGTCACAGAATACAGGGGGATCTCAAGCTCCAGCGTCGGGAGCACCTCCTCCCTCTCCTTCTGCACTGACCTGGGTGTCTGCAGGGCTGTTTCTCTCACATATTCTCACTCCTCTCTTCTCTGCCCATAATTACTTCTGCACAGTAGCTTTTTTGCCTTCTTAAATGATATCACAGAGGCGCTACCACCCTCTCTGACTGCCTTGGCCAGTGACAGGTCCACACTGGGGACAGTCAGACATGAGGGAAGCTTCTGGCAGTTTCTCACAGAAGCCCCCCCAGTAGCACCCCCCCGCCTCCAAACTACCTGACCATGCAAACTCAATACAAGGGATGTAAGCAACAGAACCATTTCATGACAAAGTAATGATTTCTGTGAACTTCAGTGGAGTGAGCAAACAAACAAAATGAAGGTATTCTAAATTCTGATAATGTAATTTTTTTGAAAATTATGTTTGAAAAGTTAACCAAGATGTTAACGTGGACTCAGTATGCCACAAAATGAAAAGGCAAATAAAGAAAACATTTGAAGTAAGTTTATCTTTAAAACACAGCGGGGGTTTTTCACTACCTAAAATACTGTTCAAGTATGGGAGCTGTGTTCTAATTTGTTCCTGCAGTGACCTCTCTACTTTACCTCTGAATTACTTTAAGAGTGCACAGTAAAGCTTAGTTGCTCATCAGGCAAATGTCTGCTTCTACTAATAAGAAAAATCAGCCATAATAAAAGGCAGACAGCATTTGCTGGATGCAAAAATTTCTCTGCAATTATCACTTAATTGTCCTTCATGGGCCAGTACTGGGAGTCTCATACTTTTCCCTTAAGGTTGCTCCCTTCTTCAGCACTTTTCTTAACTGTCTACTTAATTAGTCTTCCTTCCTGGGCTTAATTGTAAATTTGTTTTGATTAATTAGCCTCTGAGCTGACTTGGCACTAACTGAAATATAGGAGAACTACTCAGTTTCTTCAGTGTTTAGGCTACTGTATCCTAGGGGAGCTCCCTCTTCGTCAGCAATAAAATTACAAGTTCAGATTGTGTTTGAAAAAAACTTTTTCATAATTAACTTTCATTTCTTGGAATTACTCCCACTGTACTACAACACAAAAATGTTGCTAATGTAAAGAAAGGATAAACTTCAGTAAGTTCAGGCCTCTTTTTCAGTGGATTATACATCATGTTCATTAGCTGAATGCTGTCATTTTAGAGAATATGACAATGATTTTAAACCACACTAATCATATCACTATTGGAATCCCAATCCGAGAGCGTAGGTTACCAGTACAGACAGCTGTGTCCTCATGGCACCAACACCAGAAACCGTTACCCATACCCATCTCTTTCCAAAGTTATTGAGTTTCATTGAAAACCCTTTGCATAACCTAGTCTGCAAGACCTTTGGACACTAATACAGCTCTTCATTATGTTTACACCTCTGATATCACTCCTTTCCTCTCCCTCTTTATGGCATGTTGATTCCAGTAGATACCCACACAGCGTTATCATGCATCTGCCATCTTGATCAATTCTCATTTCAGTTACTGTTACTGAAAACTCAGGAAAAGGCAACTTTAAACACCAGGACAATGAAAAAATTTAATAAGATAAATGAAATAATGTGTGCTAACAGCTATTGCGCCCACTTAGCAAACTTCCTGAATACTAGTCAAGAGTACTGGAACTCTTCAGTTTTCAAATTTAAAAGTCCTTAGCTATCAAGGTGCAAAGAGAAAAGTCTTATTCTGGACATTAATATTTTTTCCTGTGAATACTTTCAGATTTGTATCTCAACTGAACAGTCAGACTGACAAAGTAAACACTTTGCTTCTTCCAGCTCCTTGTTTCAATCATTGTTCCTTTTGTGCTCCGTACAAGAGACGACTGCAGAAGAAGTGCAAAGTACATGTGGGTTTTACAACCTTTGTGTGCACCTTGGGCACGGAAGTTTAACTGAAGCAGATCAGAACAGGAGCTTTGTGGGTGGGCTTAAGGACGCAGGGCAGCTCTGGAGGTACATCTTTTAATGTATTCCTTCCCTAAGAATCTGCAGCTGACTGTTTTGACTGATGATCAACCACTGCTTTCATTGTAGAATTGACCCATAGGAATCACTTTGGTTATCAAATCCTAAATGAAGCTTGTCCATGCAATCTGAGAAAAGTTTGGCTTTGAGATCTCTTCTGACTGCATTTGTGAACATCCATGAAGTGACACGATATTCTGTAAAGGAAATGTACCAGCTTGGAAAGATTAAGATATTCAATTACAACAGCTGTCAATACCATTAAAGAGGCATGGTCCATGCTTTTCAGTTAGATGTATTAGCTGCGATCAATCACCACTTAAAGTAAATCCTGTATTACAAAAGACATCATGCAGAGTCTATACATCAGTAAAAATGTCAGAAATATTCCTTTGTGCTGAAATGCCTTTTCAGCTGTTATGAAATGAGGAAATAGCTCTTTAGGTTTATTGTATTCTCCAAATGTTAATTTAAATTTAGCTGTGCACTTGAAAAACAGAAGAAGCTGTATATGTGCCTCAACAGTTTGTTTTATTGGTCCTGTTTATTTTTTTCTGTAATTACTCAGCTCACAATCTCCTATTTTATGTTTACAGAGTTGTACAAATATGGATGTGTATACATATCTGACAGTTCTGCAATCATTCTTCTGCTGCTTTAAGATGCAAAAGGTTTGTTTAGTAAAACAGGAACAGCTTTCTAACCAAAGAAAATTACAAAAAGATAGATCTGCAAAAGAACCTACTAACCTGTAATTTTTTCAAAGAGAGTCAAAGCCTTCAAAACTCTGATGTTTTATTGTGGTGGGACTTCTCAGTTAAGCATCTTAAAACAAGTCTCTGGATGTTACCACAGTACCTACTACAGAACACATGTACCTACTAACATGAAGCTGAAATATGTGACTTGGCTTTTGTTTCCAGCTCTCTCAATTACTGTTGACAGAAAGTAATGAATTAATATACTAAAACAGGGATATCCTCCAGGAACAGTATGTATACCTCACAGTCAGCGGAAAAGGCCATGTCTCTTACACAACAATGCTCCCAACTTCATTCCACCGCAGGTAACACTGGCTAACCAATGTCAGCCTAGCTCAACAAAAACTTGGCTAAACCACAGTAGCCAGTGGAAGTGAGATTACTCAGCAGAGTAGAAAATATGCATGTAAAAAGAAACACACATAAGCCAGAAGAAGAATGCAAACTTCTCACATTTTGTAAAAGGCTTTTTTATTTGCAATATCCAATTTGGCCTGATGTACACAAAAATGGAGCCAAAACAAGACCAGGCAGAGGTGAAACATCAGCTGCTGCTTCTGACTAGCAACTGATTACTGACTGACACGCTGCAGAGCTCAGCAGCCATAGAAGTCCTGGAACTCTGAAGATCCTCTTGCAACTCCCCACGCTATATTCAGGTTAATGACACAGAAGCAAATTTCATACAAGTGTCCAGTTGAAGAAAAAAAATTAAAATGTAATCCAGGCCAACAGCAAACAACCTAGCTCAACTCAACAACTCCTGCAGTGCATTAATGATTTAAAAAACAATTTTGAGAAAGTGGCTGCAACTAGTACACCATCCATACTAACAGAATGAACCTAGCAACATTTAGTACCAAGTCCTACTGTTACACCTCCTTGCAACAGAATTCAACTGAATTTATCTCCACCTGTAACACACTTCTTCCTCCCTTTCAAAAACCAGACCCTGATGGAACACAGAGGCCAGCAAAGGACAAACAACTGTGCTTGAAGCCCCATCTACTGACAAACAGTAGAAGTGTTGCTAAGCTACACTGATATTCCAGAGAACATCCCTTGGCACAACTGGTATTGCTTCTTAAAAAAGAAGTAAAACACAAACATTTTGAGATGTGATCCAACTACAAAATGTTCTCTTCGAATCACACAGGACATCTCTCCAAGAAACCAACTAGCCAGAAAGCAACAAATCCATACAGACTAAAAAGCGATATACTTTACCAAATCCACCCTATTCTGTTGACACTCCTAGACTTAGAATTAGGAAAATACAAACAGGCATGCTGACCTCAAACCTGCATTTGAACACCTGCACTTTCCAGCCTGTGTCAGGAAAAGGTCTGCACGTTACTTCTGCCTAAGGAAGCATCCTGAAGGACATATTTCTCACCACTTACTCTTGACCCAAAAGAAAATCAACTCAAAACCTTGCTGCAGAGTGCCTGTACAGTGCAGTGGGGGAAGACACATCACTGCCTGATATGAGAAGGGTAACGTATCACTTCTCATTTGAGTCCACGAAATGAAAACACATCACTGGCAAGCAACAGTCTGCTGAGTTCTGTCACAACATCATCCATGCTTTCCTTTAGGGCCATGAGCTCCCTAGTCCATATACGTTCACTAACCCTTAACAAAGTATCCATCCTTCTGCTACTCAATCTGCAGACAGGTAACACTGAAGAAAACTCGCAGAGTATTTTCATTCTAAATTCCCTGGCCTTTAACACAACTGCAAAGTTTTCTTGTTCTGACTTTCAACTGGAACCGATGAGCTGCTGGGATCAGAGACCATCGCATCCATGGCCTGACTACGGGGACACGTGCTTGGGTTAGAAGCAGAGACTTGAGTTTAATGCTGGCCCTCTACTCATTTTCCAAGCGGCAAAGTTACAGACCTCTGCAGGCCTGAGGAGTTGAAAGATTTAAAAACTAAACATTTTAGTGGGTGGGATTCCTTAAAGCAGTGGAGACAGCATATGTGCCCATCTGGTAGCTGGTATGGCTCCAACACAGAAAGGACAGTATTTGAATCTTTCTGATCTCGAAGAGACCATTTCAAGTGCAAAATTCAGAAAAGCTGTCAACATCAAACTCATATTTAGTAACTAAATGACTTTTTTTTTTTATTTTAACTCAAACTGCTTACAAAAGTTGAAGCTGAGAAAAAAGTTCCTTCTGTGTAGTCTGAACTCTGATACAAATAGTTCATATCAAGACAGAGGCAGAACTAAATGGCAAAAGGCATGTTCCTATTTCATTTTCCAGTTACATGTGACCCAGCCATGAATGCAAAGATGTCACATAACCCCTACCAAGTATTTCCACTGTCAGTATGCACTAGTTATAGGAACTACTACTTGAAAGAGAATGACAAAAAGTATTATCTCAGACTCCTCCCCAGTCTAAAGGATCTTTCACAGAAGCATGGCAGTCTTGGTGTCCAAGCCCTTTCACAGACACACAAAGTTAGCTGGCAGCTGAAAGCCAATTCATTTTTCCTACTTTAATGTATACTCTAGATTTAGCATAAAGATCATGGCCAAAATCGTTTATGAGGTCAATACTCAATCCTCAAATCCTTAAAGTTCTCTATTCCAATTCAATTTTCCTTATCTCCTTCTCTTTGAGGATAGCAGTGACCAGAGAGAGAAAGCACCCCATCAGAATAGCTGTAGTTTATCTTCAGTCAGAAGGAACCTTGAAGAGCTTGGGAGACAAATGCTATGTATACCATCTGCTGTCTAGACTTGGCTTCTGGAGTATACAGTATAATTACAGCTTTCCCAAAGGTCCTTATTACTACCCCGAACACAGCAAGGAAATCAAAAGGAGCTATTAAAGTAATACATTTGGCAATGACCTATCACTGTTACACAAAATAAAGCTATCAACAATGTTCAGAGCTAATCAGGCCACAGCTTCCACACAAAAGACACAACTGATAAGCTCCTACTTGAAAGCTCCTGCTTTACTATTGGAACCAGAGGCACTAATCATACAGCTGCCAGACAAGGAACAAATGCCTGTCATTAGCATATTTAGAAGGCGGCTGGACCCCAGCACACAAACATTTCAGCAGCCCATCTCCCAGACAACAATTACTGGAATGCAAACAGCAGGTTCATCATTTAAATAGAGATTATTCTAAGCAGTATGTACCAGGCAGTTGCTAAGACTATCTATCAGATGTTAGCTGAAGATGTCAACATTTTTTCAAGTGCTAAGCATCTTTAGGGAGATTAAGCATATTGATACAATTTGGAACAATAAATATACCCACACATTTTATACTTGTATCTTTCTGTCACTGGATGGCACAAGAACAGTAATTGATGCAAAGTGAGGCCCTTCAGTATCTCATTTTAGTTTGAAAGCAAACTACTGAGGTTCTTTTGGTTTTGTTCCCAACTCTTATGTTGACTTCACCTGCTCTGTTTTAATCTGTAATGTTAAGGTGGGCACACTCAAACATTTTTTGTATGTAAAAAGAACTCCAGAACATACAAAAGCTTGACAAGTGTTTCAGCAAACTTCTCTGCAGAAGGTTCTTCACCTGACTTTGAGTTGTGTGAAGAGAAGAATACTTTCTTCGTTCAGAAGATTACGTATGTTATATCCATTTCCTACAAATAAAAAGAGTAAGTTTTCTTTAGGAGTCACTAGCAATTTTTCAAGTTCTGTCCTATCTTCAGCCAAGTGTATTTTTATTTCATATATTTTAGCAGAAGAAAAATTAGCTCCTAATCTAGGATGCCACTCTTACAGACAGGTCATTGCATTTCAAAAAGATGACAAGGAATACAGCTAGTGTCACCTATTTTAACCTGTGGTAAGAATAAAGTGCATTTTTGCTTAGAAAATTTTTACTGAAAAGAATGTAACAGGCCTGAGCTCTCAGCTCTCAAAACCCACAATAAAACTTTAAGGTGACTGAGTTTAATTTATTCCTATAGAAACGATCAATAAAATCTGCATAATAAGCTATCAATAAAATGAAAACTTACCTGCAGATCTTCACTTGAGATTTGCTCATTAACATGACCACAAAATAGAATCATCTAATAGGCTTTGTGAATGAGCAACATCCTAACATTCATATAGAGTCATACAATGACTTACAGAGATCACCTGCCACAAACACTGCATTGCCCATCCAGCCATACTAAGACCAGCCAGGAAGAAGTAGGGAGGAATGGGAGATGAACTATATACCCTTATGGTCCTATGAAACTTCCAGCATTTTATATAATCCAATATCCCAAAAAGCAAAAAATTGCCTCTGCAGATGCCCTAAACTTTTAAGAATAAACACCAAAAAAAAAAAAGCTTTAAAGCATCAAGCATTAATTGAACAATGATTGCTCAACCAGGACATCGTGCTGAAAAGTTAACAGAGAAAAAGGGCTAACTTGTCATTTTCTAAAACAGCCTCTTCAAAAGAAAGTTATACAAAAGCTTTCTACAGCTTCATGAACAGCTCGCTTTACAAGTACTACAAAATCTTCTGATTAGTATCTTAAACCACTGATGGACAGCTTCCCATATGGAATTCATGTTACTTTTACATTAGAAGGACAAAAATCAGGTCTTTAAATGCTCAACAACTCATACAAAGTTACAACCCATTCAACAAGACATTCTGCACCTTCCATATATCAAGCACAAAGCACAAAATATGGAGAACTGACCCAAATGGATTTTCATAATTTTACATAGAAGAAAACAGCAAGCAGATGATGACCAAAACAATTATATTAGCTACCACTATATTAAGCTGTCTGTGATGTTTCCCCAACATTAGAGCTAGTGAGAGAACCAGAATACCAAGAGAAATTTACTCTTAGAACTTGGTAGTGTCATCAAAACTCTGAGGCCAACTCACACGAACAAGCAGTATGTGAGTCACTGCATTCAACAATTAGACTATCAACCCATGTCCAGTGTTGTGTCACATTCCATCTCCATAACCCTATACCTTCCCACTCTCTATTCCATCTCTCTTTCAGTCATTAAGTTTGGTTTTGATTCCTAGCACGCTAATTCAGTCTCAACCATCTCCAAGAAATTGGTTTTAGACACATGTACTCACCTGGAGGAACATAGAAGGAGTCTCCTGCAGTCAGATAATATGATGTCTTATGTAATGTAACAATAATTTTGCCACGGATAATATGGAAAGCCTTAATGAAAGCCAAAGGATTCTAAGATTAGCAATGTTTCCTTTGCAAACATTTAAGAAAGTTATCCCAGAAAACATTTGCACACATGTTGTAACAAAGATAAAAAACAAAATAAGCTGGCAGAACCGCAATCCCTGTTTTCCCCCACACTGCTGAAAAATAAGATGCACAACTCAAAAGGGGGATGGGGTCATCTTATTTATTTGATACTTCTGTCTTGCCTGCAAGATCTAGACAGTAAGTGCACATAGACATAAAGATTTAGTATGACACAGAGGGCAATGTGCATGCAAAGTACCTCTGGCAAATGATTCATTAACGTTTATGCGCATTAAGGGAGGGAAAACCCCTGAAAAACCCATCAGCTTCATATGTTACTTCCAACCACACTAAGATCTCCTGTTTACACAGTCAGTTTTATAAAAATAAGAAAAAAGTACACTTACTATTGTATCCATGTGGACAAACTGGTGTCCCTTTTCCTTAAGTGGTTTCAAAATCAATTTACCAGTTGCAAAAACAGATGTATTCAGATTTTTGTATATTTCTACCGCTTCGTCTTTGAAGGAGCAAGCGTGACTGCTTTCAGTGTTAACACATTCTACAAAAAAGTCCAGGGGATTAGCATTAATGCTATCATATAATTAGTCTTGTTATTTGCTCAATGCATTACATACTGTTTCAGTGCAACACCTTCAAAAGCTATATTCAATATTTAGCTGAAAAATCAAGACACTTTTTGTTTTCCTCAGAACTTTCTCCAGAAGAGCAATGAATATTTCAATAGTTTACCTTTTTATGCCCAATGTGGCATGAACAATTTTTTTTCTTATCAGTCTAAACACAGCTTATATAATTCACAAAGTCCCTTGGCCACATCCTTCAACTCACCTAGAACTACCTCCTCATTTGTTTCTGGGTCCAGTACAATGGTTGGCTTAGAAGTATCAGCTAGGTTGTGATCCAAACTTGCAGGTATCTCTCTTCTATCTGAGGAAACAAAGAAACCAAAACAAAATCAGAGAAATTATCACTATGCATTTTAAAAACTTATTAACTACAACTTTTCCACAATTCTAATGTCACATGTTAAGTACTTAAACTTGTTTTAATAAGTGAACTAAACAGACTGAATACACTTCATTTAAATAAAAGGAAACCATCCGTAACAATTCCTTGAAAATGTAATTTTCATTGAAATCATTTCTGTGTGTAATAGATGAAGGCTCTCTAAACCCTAAGAAATTTCCCAGGGGAATGCCAACTATTTATCCTGTGCTATTAACAACAGTATTTATTCAGAAGTATCTGTATTTTCAGAGAAGTGCTTTTCTACCAACAGATGCTGAGAGGATATAAAATACAGGATGAAGACTAAGTTTTTTTGCTTTTACCTATTGCTGATAAAGGAGATTTAAGAGATAAAGCATTCTAAAGACTAAGTACATGTCCAATTTTCCTTTTCTCAAGAAATATCATTACAGGAATCTCACTGTATGTTGTAAATCTGAGAACTATTTCTATAATAAAAAGGATATAATAAAAAGGATTTTTCCAGAGCAGGAAATATCCTAAGAATCAATGACAACTCTACGCTTTTCAAACAGAAAATAGATGCTAGAAAATGTTCACAACAGAATATCCCAAAGCTCTCTTGCAGAATTCTCATAAGCAAACAATTTTAGCTCTACAGTGCACAGGAAATTTCTTTAAATGCAACCAGAAGTAGCATGTTAAAGGCAAGCTGTTGCACTTTGTAGGCACTCATGGTTGCTTAAATACCCTTACACCAAGACAGTCAGAGGTAGGAAGAAAGTTGCTGTGTTTGAACAGCTCTGTTCCAATATGACCATCTCTGTATAAAGAGAAGCAGCATCGGGTGTAACTCTATAGCTATAACAACAGAATTTTTACTGTATCAATAAGATTTGAGAATTCGTGCCAGAAATTTTACTCAGCTGACAGTCCCTATATGCATCACTAAAACTGAAGGATGTGAGCAAAGGATCTCTGAGGATGGATGTCTGTTAGAGAGGAAATCGATCACTTCTGGAAGACAGTTCAAATGCACCCAAAGCAACCAATAGCTCTTGTAAGATACAACATAAACAGTCACTACCAGCTCAGGTTCACATGCGCTGCAAATTATTTATATTACAACGTAAACTGTACTTGGTTGATCTAGACCAGGATTCTGTCTCCCATCAGTGGCCAAAAGCAGGTACTCCTTCCATCCCCAAAAATGCCATAACAGAGCAATGGCACTTCCATGGAATAGTTCCCACCTCTAACCTGGAGCTCATACATATTTAGAGCTGTTAACAGTTAAGTCTCCCGTTAGTGTATCTAGATCTCATCTTGAATCTACACAAATATTTTTGTCCACAATATTATGGGGCAAGAAGCACACAGTGAGAATGGCCACCTTATTCTGCTAAAGAATTTCAGCTCTCCATATCTTTCTGCCACACCTTCTAGTTCTTGTGTTTAAAAACAAACATATAAAAAAAAAGCCAATAAAACAATTTATTCCTATTTCCCTTCTCCACACCACTTGTGATTTTATAGGTCTTTCTCAGGTCGCCACAGAACTCCCCTGAGGGCTGAGAAGTCTTCACTACATAGTTGCTTCTGCACAGAAGTCCTTTCATGTTTTTGATGAGCTTTCCCTGAACCTTCTCTAGTCCTACCACTTTCTTCTTGAGTTCAGGGATAAAATTCACATGAAACACTCTAGAAAATCAGATATTTTTACCAACAATGATCATTTTCTTCCTTATTTCTCTGATTATTATTTCAGCCCTGATTTGTTTTAGAACTGTGTTAGGACCATATGGCATTATCCATTCTTGTTAGCATTTGTTTTATTAGTTCTATAACTTCACTGAGAAATGTTTCAGTTTCAAACAACAGTTCTAGACAGTCCCCACAAAGAAAGGTTCTTCAACATTGAAACATCTTCCGGATTGCACAGCAAAAATAATTTGGCATTTGAATTTTGACTCTCTTTTCTGAACACTACCTAAATATTTATTATCTTCTGGCCACAGAGGCTCTAGCTAAGCTTCCTCTTCCTCTTTGTTTAAACACAGATTTATTGCCCACTTTGAACCATTTTATGCACTGTTCTTAAAGCTCCCTCTTCACCTACCATGTTGTGGTTTTGTATTTAACTTACAAAAGCTTGAGACTCTACTAACACCATATACTGCTTTTTCAGATGTAATATTACAGGTATCAGTAAAACGACCACAAGTTTTTATACCTTAACTGTGCACATTAGCATCATGATCTGAACACAAACAGAAGTACAGTTTATTTTTTTCTACCCCTGCTTTAAAGGCACAACAACACTTCTGGGTATGTTCTGTATTTCTTCCTTTCTTCTGAAAAGTTAACATTTTTATAACAAGAATATACAGCATTGCTACAGATAAAGTAAGAACAGGTTTTTCCACATCACGTTAATAGATTTTGTTATAAAATTATTTTCATCCACAGAGAGAATCAAGTGTTACAGGAGGAATATCTTACAGCAATAGAGTATTTGATTACAGATAACTTTGTTTTTAAGTATCAAAAGGGAAAAAGTCTGTGTTCATACTTGTTTTGTTGGCTTTCTGCTTGTGACGATCCTTCCTCTGTCTATTCTTACTGCGAGATTGTGTTTCTGGATGCACTAATCCACTAATCACAAGCCCTCCTGAAACAAAAGGAAGTTAAACAAAGCTTGCTAACTCACAGTAACCTTAAAAACTTATACAACCAACAAGCATTTTAACCGAGAATATACTTCCTTGATGCTGAAATTTTCAGACAGCTTTAAAAAGCCAGAACAAACCAAAAAGCTTTTCATTATTAAGTATTTTGGAGTGCAAGGCAACTTGAGATATTTTGAAAATAATATTTATCAAATTTCAGTCACAGAACATTTCAGAAAGCCATGATATAAAATCAATTTTTTAAGAAAAAATATCAATTTTAGGAACACAAAGAAATACTATTCTCAAGCAAATTAATTAATTAAGAAAAGACGAAATATTAGGCTGCATTGGTCAGAAAAAAATCGAAGAGAACAAGATATATTTGTTCACTTAGGGAATTTAACACTGAGACTGGATAAAATATTAGAGTATCTGCTCTGGAAAACAATCCTCACAACAAAGAGAAATGCTCCAATGAATGATCCAGCAGATTGTCTCTTTTTCCAGTATCATACACAATCTCTGATGTAATAAACCTACTAGTATAGAGAAACTGTTCTGCTCTTCTCTAAACAGTGAAGGCAAAGTAACTTAACATACTCTCCTGATGCTATTTTCAGCTGACAAGGGAATATCAGGAATGAAAAGGACTACATAGAAAGGTGACTAAATAGCTAGTGACCATAAATAATCTTTAAAAAAAAAAATTACCCAAAAGTAAGCCTCTCAAAGTCCTCCTGGCACAAGATCAACCCACAGATTTTTCTTTACTGCCCCATCAGAAGGAAGCAAATAGGTATTTTGGAACTAATACCTGAAGAGTTCATAGTATAGTTTATGCGCTCGCCTCTCCAATATTCCAGAGGTCTCAGCCGTATCCTTTTCGTTCGACGAACGTTAGGTGTGTTGGAAGGCATTACTAATTTGAAGGATGACATAATTCATATTAAACATGAAAGGAAAATTCAGAGATGGAAAATATTAAGTATCCTTTCCTGTTTTGCTGTATCACAAGGGGGGGTCAGCACTTCCCAGCTGATATTTATATCACATTGCTATCGTGACAGGAAAATGGGATCCAAATATTGACAAAAGCCCTCTTCTGCATACATCACTATTTCACTCTCCTTTTTCTTAAACAATCACCACACTGACTTTATATTATACTTAGTTCTATGTATGTTAGTGAATCACTGAGACATGGACCTTAGGAGCTCAAGCACAAGGATAGAAAACATGCTACAACTGTGAAGACAAAGCTCTCGACAAAGACTAAGGACTCAGCCTAAATCTGAGGGATTTCATTAGCAACAGTGGAAAGGCACTGCCTTAGTTATGGCAAGGGGAGAGTAAGAGACTGCATACGCAGCTCCTCCTCTTCCAGATTTGCAAGTCCCATTTCTGAGGTCCAGAAGAATGGCACTTCTGCCAACAGAAACTCCACGTATTTCCAAGATTTCTCAGATATTTATCTTCAGATGTACTTATTACATAGTCTCAACTTTCAAGTTGTCTAAGCTGCCATATATGAATACAGTAATATATATTTTACTATTTGTAAGGAAGAATAAAAGTCCTTTAAGAGTTAAGAGCAAATTAGTCAAGATATTTAAATGTTAAAAATGGTAAATATAAAAAACTTGATGAAATAGTTTTTGAAGGTAGACAACTAAAGTGTTGTGCATAAAATAAGAATGAAGGCCATAAAAAAACCCCAATATAAACCAGACAAGCACGGGACTGCAATCGACTGCACACGCATTGTTCCATCCTATCCAGACTCAGACCACCACAGAAGGCAGGTTATTTGCACCATCAGTTATACTGCATAAAACTAATACAAACTCTTACTGTTCTCACTGAACTGTGGGGTTGTCTTGACTCAGTTGTTTAGGAATAGATTCAGTGCAAGTAGCTCAGTGTGCAGTTGCATGCCAGTCTCCTTCAGCAAACTTTACATCAAGTTGGAAATACATTTGTATTTACACACTTATATTACGATATTTTAAATAATCTTACCTATTTTATGCCTTGCTATGTTGTCTGACAATGGATCTCTCACTTTGTAATTCAAGTCATCAAAAGTCTCTGTAAACACATTCAAAAAACCACCACCATAGGCATTTACTATTCCTGACTTTTATTCAATATATCCACTAAAAGCAACCAAGGGTAATACAAGTCCCAATGATAGTGTTCCCTCTTAACACATTTTGCTATAAACATGTATGAAACCCAATGTAGATAAGCAGTATATGCAATCAGTAAGCTTGAAAATTACATGAAAACTATATATTCAAGTAAATATTCCTCAGACCTATCCCTCTTGATAAAACACACATTGGAAAATTATGACAAAGTGCAAGGTCAATCAGCTTTATATCACTCAAACCTAGCTTTAGAACAAACTTCTTACAAGAACACACACAAAATTAAGTCTCTGAAGAAAGCACTGCATGAACTAATAACATTCGCATATTCACTTTTGGCTCTAAAACACTAACAAAATGATTTTTTTATCTCCAAGGCTCATGTTCATTATGACAACATGTACAACTCATGTTGTGAAACTTAAAATCCAGACCAAACAAACAAAACTTTTAAAAAAAAAACAGACACCACAAACCAAACCAACCAAACACCCCAAACCAAAACATTCTTGGGTGAACAGGCCATCGGGCTGTACACTTTGGTCCAGGGTGGCCTGAAGTGATTGCATTTAGTACCATCACAGGGCAACACATCAAACTGGTACAAACAGAGCCTAAAAAATGTGTTCAAAATATTTTGGAGCGATAACTTTATCCCAGTAGGCTTGATGCCAAACCCTGGAGGGCTTGCTCTTCCAAAGCTAACACAACATAAAGCTGGCATAGTGTACCACCTACTTGGACAGAAATGTAACCACAGCCAATAAAATCCGCATTTGTTCTGGACAAGTTGAATACAACAGAAATTACTGAACCATCAGTTACAGTTTATAAGAAGCTTATACATAAAATGCAAGAAAACATTACCTGATGATGTATCATACTGTTCACAAGACTTAGTGCTGGAATCAAATTTATCACAATGTTCTAGAACAGGCCCACTGCAAAAGAATAAAAAATAAACCTGCTTAAAAGATGTTAAATGTCAAAGGAACATTACAGCACTACCACATATATAAAATTTAAGTTTTTTTCAGATCATGTGGTCTGGGTTTTATTTTTCTTTTAAACATCTGTCTACAGTGATTAGACACTAAAGCAAATGACTGCTAGTTAGAAATCATAGGTCTGAAATTCATCAACTGCTCCTCAGTCACCAGGCAGAAAAATTAGTGTTCACACCTCCTCTCTAAACAGGTTTCTTAAACTTCTTTTTTTCTCCCTTCCAGAATAAAGATACTTCCTTCTGTAGCATTACCTTTCAAACAATTTTCCATATACCGTGATTATGGAACTGCTTTAAAGAAATGTTTTGCATACTATAAGGAATGGACAGTAAAACAGTTTGTCTTTGTAATGAGTATTCTGTCACGAAATCTCTCCCATAACATGACAATTTATATGTATGACTCTACCAGAGATTCTTTAGCAACCAAATCACTTCTAACAGGACCTCTCTTACAGCCTTAGCATCAGTACCCTTCACCTTCCTTCTTCCTCCATCTGTGGCTGTGCTTCACTGCTTTTACTGTGCCAGTGAAGTTCACCTGTTATCCACCTAAACTCCAAAAGATGCATTTAAATTATCTAAATTAGCAAACCTACACTACAAATTCGTCCAAGTAAGTCTGCAGTAGTCTCCCTTATAATTAAAAACCCCAAATTTTTCTGCAGAATGACTGCTTAAGAATTCAATAAATTCACAGACTGCCGCTCCTGTTTGCTTTGTCATTAAGTTCCCATCCCATGAAGGGGAAGATACATGCCTATCTACATGCAAAAAGTTTGGATCATAGATACAGCTCTATACCCCACTTAATGGCAACTTTACTAGTACAGCTGCTATTAGTTCTAGGAGCACTGGTATTTCTGTTCCAAAATCACACACTAATGTGGGAGCAAACCTCAAAGGAAAAAAATCCCCTAAGGCAAGAAACCTACTATGACCCCTTACTTATGACAGGAAGAAAAATTTTACTAGTTTATTAACTGTATTCATGCAATATTTAAAATGCTCAAGCATGAATTACAATTCTTTTCTACTAGGTGCTTCACTAGTAGAGCACAGAATGGGATAGTACTACCAAACTCTTCTGTCTCAGTGGGGCAGAAGTGAGATTAAATTCAAGGTTTTCAGACAACTCAAGAAATTACCTTTCATAGTTCACAGCCTTCTCAGCCACAAAGGAATATCTAGATGAGAAAAAATTATTCTTAGTACATTTTAGGGTTGAGTCAATTTTACTTAATGAAAGGAACCTGTAGGTCAATAATTTTATATCCTGAACAAAACCATAAAAAAGACATTAAAAAAATTTAAAAACAATGCAAAGAACAACTATTAAAAACTGGTTTTAGACTCCTTAAACTTCTGTCTTTAGATTGCCTATGACTAGAAAGTTACATCCACAAAAATATATACAATAGCTGAAGAATTAAATGCTGTATTTTCCAAATTTCATTTAAAAATACAACAAACCTGACAGTGAAGTTACTCTGTGGTGGTAGGATTGTATTAAACTGGATCTACTACACAAGTCTCGTGAGAACAGTTTAACCAGCACAAACTTCCTCATGTAAAAGACACTAGATTTGGCACCCACATTTGAGAACAGGATGTTGACTACACCACTTGGTTTCTCTATTAACTATTTGACCAATCTCAAACTATCTCGTAGTTCAATTGGGCCATCACTGCTTAAAAGTTAACAAGGTGTGTTTAATTATCTACCAAGTTATACCACACTTGTAAGGAATCACATAAAAAGCTTACTGTGGTCCATGTTGCCTGTTACGTTTTCTTTTGTTATTTTTTATTTTTACGTCTGATAACTTCTGTTTTTTCCTTGCCATGTTCTGTACAGAAGAGCTGTCAGAATCTGTTTGAGACTCAGTGTCCTCAGGGTTTGAGGAAACAGCTTTATTGGTTCTGCAAGGAATCTTTCCGGGTATCTTCCCTGAATACTTGGCTGGCAACTGCTTCTTTTCAGAATTCTTCACACTGTCCATGGGATGCTGTAGTGCTTTCACAGGAGATTGGTTATTTGCACCACCAGGTGACTCCAATGTGTGCAACACATTTCTAGGCTTTTCAGACACAGCCAATTTCTGAATCACGGGAGTCTCTAATTTCTGACGCAAGGGTGTGGTACGCACATCTTGCAAATCTGCAGGCTCTCTTTCATGCTCTTCTTCACTAGGTTCACTGTCAGAACTCTTCTCTCTTTGCAACCGAGGTTTTTTATTACTACTTTTCTTGACAGATTTTTTAAGCGCCTTCCTTGGACTTAATGCCACTTTCTTAGCTACTTTAACCTTAGGAAGTTTCTTCTTAGCAGTTTGTTTCCTCTTATCTAAATGCTGAGAAGCTTTTGAAGCTGACTGCAGATTCTTGGAAGACTTGAGAGACTTTTTTGGAGACACAGTCTGTTCTTGTTGATGCCCAGATGAGGGCATAGGCAAATCTTCACTTGGCAGCACCCTTGTTTTACATTTTTCTGCATCAGATGTTTCTGTTTCCAATCCAGACCATGACAATATCAGTTCTTCAGCTTCTGGTTTCCAGGATGTGTTCTTTTTCTGGTTTGGAGAGTCTTGCCTAAGTGCATCCTTTTTAGTCTTTCCTATCAATACACAAAACATTTGGACATTAATATCTTTTTACATTAAACAGATACATGTTGACATCTGAATGCCTAAAAATAAACCAAAAAATCAAAATGGGAAAATAAACAAACAAAAGGTATCACAAAACCAGGTTTGTTCCTGAAGGTTAAAAGAAGGCCTTCTCTAAACTATAGTGTATAAAAACCTTTTTAGTGTACTTCCAGTATTTCCTAACAGAAAAAAAGGGAGCAGAAATGTTACATTTAGCTTGCTATCCAGTTTTCAGTGTTTCCTGCTACAAACCTTTTCACAAATAATTCCTAAAACCCAATCCCCTTCAGTTTGAAGCATGTGTCTTAACCTCCTTCCTACCTACCTTCTACCCTACGTACCCTACCATATGGGTACCTACCTTCTACACCAGCTCATAAGGAAAGACGACACCACTAAATTAATTTTTAACATCCTAACAGGAAGGGCAAAGAGGATGGGAAAAGTGAAGACACTCTGTCTCACTGCCTCATACACATCAAAATCTAACTGTGGAACTAAAACATCAAAAAGGAATCCATTAATGTCTCTTATCTACTTTATTATAATTTCCTAATAAACCACCACAAAATAATCCAGCAATATGACCTGGAAGGAAAAGTTTAAGGAGCTGTTAAAGAACTTACCTGTATGAGTACTCTTTTGGCTTTGAGATTTAAGGACATTTCCTTCACTGTTAGAGATTGGATCCGATTTCGACGTTCTTTTGATGTCAAAGGCTCCAGCATCCCGATTATTCAGTTTCTGTTTAGTAAGTGCTTCAACCTGTGCTTTCCTGTTCTTGCCTTTCTTACTCTGTGTCTTCTTCTGTTCAGAGGGCTGAGATTTAGAAACAGGAGTTGCAGAGCCATCTTTTTTTGATTTTCTTTTCTTACTGGGTATTGAAATCCAAGAAGTAAATGATGCACCACCTGAGTCATCAATTAAAAATTCACATTCATTTTCGATTTCCATATCTTGATCTTTCACAGGAGGAGGTGATGGAGGTGATATCGAGGCTGAATATCTACAGAAAGGAGTGACAATGACAAATCATTTTGGGCGGTGGGGTAAATTGACTTTCAGTCTTTAAGATCTAGTGGCGATTCAGAACACCTAAATACAGTACAGAACATTCTTCAGAATGCATTCATTCATTGCTCTTTAAGCTTCCAAAAAGACCACAAGGCCTGCTTCTTCTTGCTGATGCTGGACAGTCAACTGGACAGACACTGGACAGTCAATTTCCTATGTAAGCAGCTAGATCCAGACTAGCTCTGAAAAAAGACTGCTTGCTCACTGTAAACTTCAAAATCACGTAAGGTTTTTCTGAATCCTCTAGGTTACCTATCAAAACATCTCAGGCTCTATCTGAAACACTATTCAACAGACATTATTCAACACACCATTTTACTGGCAGACAAAACCAAGAGCACTGTTAAATTCTACACAAAATTTTGAAACAACCATTCAAACCCTTTCTCAAGTGGCATTTTTAAGTAATGTTCGACTATCACAAAACATGCTCCCAGACTTTGTTTATAGATAAAAGGATATTGTTCCGATATTCAGACCAGAGTTATTTTAATAGCAAATTATGTTCCATATTAAGCCTCAAAACAAACCTCTGTTGAAGTGTTCCTGTTGCTACAGCTGCTAAGAGAGCTGAAGAGAAAGTCTTCTCTTTCTGCACAGAAGATGTAGCAACAGGTTCTGTTCCTTGCACAAGAACAACCTGCTCATCTCTCCCACTCTGAGGTCCTTCCAAATTTTCAACTTCTCCACAGCTCTTTGCTGCAGCAGGTGTATTCCAGTCATCAAGACATAATCTGTGTATGAAAAACAGCATTCAGATATATTGCTATAAATCTTGTGAGTGCACAATAAAGTATTGTGAGGAAGAACAGATGCTCCTGCTGACAGTGTCTCACTTAGGAATGAGTTTCCCCTTGGTATTTTGCTGAAACACGGCCTAGCTGTAGTACTTCCCAGCACAGCAGCATGTGTCCAAAGCAATACAGAGTCTTATGGTGACTCTTGATCAAAGTAAAGGCTGCTCAGTAAGACAAATTCCTAATTTGTCCTAATGTGCTTCAGAAATTGTCAGGTTTCCTAGACTGTAGGTACACTGTCTTCCCAATCTCACTCCATCAATGGGAATTAATGGGATCAGTGCCAGTCCATCTCTATGATCTACCCTACAGGCTCAGCCCTCCAGGAAAGCAGAACTGTGGTAAGGACCATTGGCCAATATTGCAGTTGGGCTTCAAATTTTCCTGTGGGGAGATAGAGATCCCAGCTTAAGTTTTTCTATTTCGTATAAAAAACTTGTCTATTCAGAGTGAGAGGAATGATGACTGCTCATTTCTACTTTAACAAATTCTTGTTAACTTCTAAGGTCAATACTGTCAATAGGATTCACTGAAAAAGTCTGGACTACTTAAGAAGCTGATACTTTGGTGAACTTTTCTGCAAAGAGTTCAAGTCTATTCTGACAGGCTTCCTACACTTGGGTGCTGCACTTATCACCAGAATATTTAATAAAAAATAATTCTGTCCTTCCTAAAAACAGATATGGAAATTTTCTAAAAAGCTTGGAATTATTTTTTATGAGTTCCCAATCTAAATTTATAAACGATGGAAACCACTGTGTTGATTTACCCTAAGGTGGAGGGCACACAGGGGATGTAACACCACAGCCATGTTCAGTTCTACTTACTTAACTACAGGAGATCTTTTCCCTTTCTCCACAGGAAAAGGTGATCCAACAGACCCGTGATCATCCTCAGGGTCCAAAATCATGGCAGGACTTCGGCACAGCACTTCAACATCTTCTAATGTAATTTTTTTGCTTTCAGACACAGGAGACTCTGGTTTTTTAGAAACATCTACATAATCATGTATTGCAGGCTTCAAGGGTGATTCACATGACTGTCCTGCCATATATATAGAACAGGTTTAATTCCTCTACTCAAAACCTTACAAAAAAACCCCCCAAAACCCCTTAATTCAATAATAGTGGGACCAACCTCTGCTGCTGACTGGTTTTAGCAGTGATGTAGGTGAGGATTCTGGAGAATAACAGGCTCTTTTCACAGAGTTGGTTGATCCTGCCTTTGGCTGTCATAGTTGGTAACGAATAATGAGACAAAGTAAAATAGTTGATAAAGCAACAGTATTTTGACAGGAATACAAATTTCTACAGAACATGATATACTTTCCTTCCCTTAAATCACACTCATGTGAATCACAGTTCTATTTTAACTAAACACTTCAACTTTCTATCAAATAAGACTTTCTAGAAGTAACTATAAATTTCAAATAACAGGAAAAACAGTGTGTACAGCAAAAATCTATATGCAGCTTTAAACAGGCATCCTGCTAGTCTCCAGGCAAGCTATTCTTTTCATTAGAATGAATTATTTTAAACAATTTAATTCACCTTTCTTAAGACAGGCTGAGGTTTTGCAAGAAATTATTTGACATTATATGGTATTCTAACATCAAACTAAAGTAACCAAACACCATTATAAAGGATGCCTGTTCTCAACCCTGCCATTAATGGAATATCCTATTTAAAAAAAAATAGAATCAAAACATTAAAATTAAATATACAAACTAGATTATTGGCATCATTTTCCCAGCACATTAACAAGGCCTTCAACTTGTTTCCACTCTTCAAGAAAGATACATATATATAAAGTTATTGTACAGATAACTATCAGGAGTTAACCAGCTTTTGTACAAGTATCACCTTTCAACTCTACTGTTCACCATTTAGCTAAGAACTGTGTCCATATATCTAGCAAAGTGGCCAAAACCAACTCCAATGGAGTCCAAGACAGCCATACCCACCAGCAGTAATAAGGCAGCGTGCTCCAACCTGAGACCATAAAAAATTTAAGTGTCCTGGACAAAAAGCTGAAAAAGCTTTCACTAGAAAAAAACCTGGAAAATAAGCTATTAAACAAATCTAATTACAGAATATTTACTGTTAGAGCACAACAAACTAAGAAAAAAACCCATTATCAACAACTATTACAGATGGTTAAATTGTAGCCTATATACTGTTACAAGTGGCATATGGAGCTTCTTCAATGCTCATACAGAACTAAATCCTACAGAACTAAATTTGTACCCCAGTGAAACTGGACCCAAAGCTATACTGTGACATTGCCATAACTTACACTTTGGCTCTGCATTGAAGTCCTCTTCCTATTTTTGAAAACAGGAGTTGAGCAAAGGGTTGCATTTGGAGAGTTTATTGTAAGATCACTGCTGCAACCTATGAAGAAAACACTGTAAGTATGGGGATCTTGGAATTGTCCAGGTCTCATTTATTTTAACAAGTTGCTACAGCTATTAAGGTCACATAAATCCAAACAAGAAAGGAATCAGCTACTCAGGAAAGATTACCTTTATAAGACAGCTAAGACACAGTTTTAAGCAGCTGGGAGGGGGGTGCTTTTCAAGACCCTGAGAAAAACTTTATTTTTATCCATTTTATCTCTAATTTTTATTTCTATTTACTTATCACTAAATATAATATAAAGAAGAAACTATTTCTTCTTTTACCAGCAAATTGAGTAAAACACCAAATAAGAGCTTACTTTCAAAACAATCCTGTATGAGTTTCAGTACGTTTTGACCTGGCTGTATATCAATCTTACTTCTAGAAAGAAGAGGGAAAAAAAATATTTTAAATCAAAAATATCAAATGTTCTTATCCCAGCAATATTAAAGCAGCAAAGTTCTTACTTCTCAATATTTTAAATTATTATTTCCCCTAGTCTCAGCTTCAAGATACTTTTACCTATCATTTCCACACATAGATATCTGCAAAGAAACTTGTCAAAATAAGAATTCCAGGGAAAAAAGCCTCACTGCCACAGATTATGATGAGAATGAAGAATTCTCTCTACATAAAAGAAAACACACAACTACTTCCCTGAGGTAAAAGAGCTTTGGGATGAAGAAAGTCTCTCTTGAAATAAACATTTTTTGGGCAGAAGTGAGTGATTCACTAGCCAGACAATGTTGATCAAAACCAAAATAACACTAGAAAAGACATGGAGTATTACTCCCACAATGATCATTATACACAGCTGATTTGATAGATTTGGTAAGCTCGTGAAATGCAAGTCTAAAAATGGATTCCAGCAACAAGAACTTCACAGGTTTCTGACATGCCTTTAAAGAATGCTACAGCACTGCAAATACTCCAACTCATCTCTAGCATTTACCAGCAAGGTCCAAATACACTGGAACTCTGTGTGGGCTTCATTTCTCTACTTCTCGAAAGGCAAAATGTCTGCACAGACTACTCCTTCCGTACTCAGGCAGCCTAGTTAGGAGCACCTTAGGTATAGCAACACCATAGTTTGCTGCCTCAGCAAAGGAAACAAAGGAAAACCTTGGGGCTTTGTCCCCCAGCACTGTTTGCTCCTCCCACCACTAAGAAATACAAGAAATTTGGGAAACATCGTATGATCGGATTAATAGGATACACCGTATAGCTTTGACATTATGCTCTCGGATAAAAATCCACATACGTTTTCCAGAATCTAAGAATAAAACTTTAAATGCAAATTACCCTCCTCCACGGCAGAATCTTGCTCTGTAGTCTTTTTTGAAACGATTCTGTGAAGAAATAAGAATAAGTTCTTACTAGGCATAATGACACTTGACAGGAAAACAAGTAAGCAAATATCAAGCATTCTCCAGCCATCGTAAACTAGTGGGAGAGTGGGAGTTACTGCAGCCCTGTTTTCCTTAGAATGCCACAGCAGCTACAACCCCTGTAACAACTGCCAGAAATTCAGCTTTCCACAAGAACCATCAAAGCATCTGTTGCATTTGAAGTCAGAGAGTCTTACAGGAGACTTACGTGACAGAAATCACAGAGAATGTAAGGATTTGGTTACCATTTACTCAAGTGTAATGACTAATCTTTAAAGTAAGGAAGAGGAATGATCTACCACAAAGCAAGCCAGGACATAACCAAACATCCGCTGCTGTGTGTTAACTGCTCACGTGATGGTTCTTACCTGTTTGCCACAGGCACGACCACACTGACAGGCAGTGAGATCACATCGCTGTGCCATGGTAAAACTATAGCCTCAGTAAAGTCCCAGTGCCACCTCACACACTTGAAACCCAAATATAATCAAAGTCGTTCAAACAGAAAACATGACTCCAGTCATCTACTACCACAACTGGAGCAGTAGTACTTCAAACGGCAACATATTATCAGTGTTACCTTCTACACCAACAAATGAAATAAAGCCGCTGACCTGGAAACAGGCAAAGAACATCAAGGATACGAATGGGAAGAAAGGTCTAGAAAAATTAAAGCGCTAAGCAGAGTGCAGTTTTTCACAGATGTGATAGGAAAACATCTAAAAAAATGTAAATATTTAGCTGAAAAACAACTATGACCTCTTACTCATTTGTGTAAATTTAAAAAGTATGTGCATCTTGGAGATTATCTAGTCCTAACACAACGGAATTCAGCTCGTTTTTCTGAAGTTTGCTATATTGACAGTACTTTGCACTTTATGATTCCTCTTTGGATATTACTTCTGGTAACAAAAATAACCAACACCACACATGGATTGATTGCACTGGAAACTTTCAATATCAGCCTTAAGTGGCAGAAGGAAACTCTAGGTCACACGGGAAAACAACTGACCAAAAGCCACCCCTTCAGAAACTGTGCACACTCCAGCCAATCTGACACTCGGCCTTAAACCTCTTCCCCTTGCAGCAGAGTGTAGCACAATCCACTGGCACGCAGCCTGTCGCACTAAAGAGACTGAAAACCTCCTGCAACGGACCTTTGAACAGTTCATTTATGAGTGTGTTCGCATTGTCCTACACATGAAGAGTTTTGAAACTCAAGATGAGCACGATTGTGGCGTGCCTGGACAAGTGTCCGGCTCTGTACGCGCTCGCTCGCCCATGGAAGGAGGCTCTCCAGAGGCAGCCTGAGGGAAACGGGGCTCCCGACAGACTAGCCCTCGGAGCACAAGTGTCTGTGCAAGGGGCCCGGACCCGAACCCGGAGGGCGCGGTGCGCCAACCCCGGCCTCCCGCTCCTCAGGGAGAAGCGGAAGACCCCAGGGTGGGGCGGAAGAACGACCCCGCTCCTCCCCCGGGAAGGCGCCGGGGGCCGCACCTCTGGCTCTCCGGAAGGGACAGGCAGCTGCCCACGACACAGCGCACAGACAGACCGACAGGCGGGCGGACAGACCGACAGACAGATACACCCCCGCCATCCCCGCACTCTCTCACCAAGGCCTCCGCCATCCCGGGCCGGGGCTCGCGCGCGCCCCGCGCGCCGCTTTCGAACCTGGGCGCCTTTCCCGCCGCGCGCGCGCCCACGGCCGGCGGGGACAGCGGCGCCCCGGCCACGCCCCCCCGCCTCCGCCTCATTGGTCGGCGGCCGCCGCGCGCCAGCCAGGGACGCTACTTTTTGGCGCGCGCGTTGTGGCGCCTGCGCAGGAGCGGGGGCTGTCTCCGCCCTGGGCCACTTTCTTGCCTTCCCTTCCTTAAGGGGACCTGCACGGCCGCGGGTCCCGTTTCTTCGTCCTCTCCTGGGAAACGCCAGTTCAAATTCTCGAGTTTCCAAATGGCCACTGTCACTACGGGGAGCTGCAGTTTTTTCTTTAAAACGCTAGTGAAGAACTTAACACTGAGCAAAAAACAAGCACGTTATCATGCTTGATAACATGAAGGCGCAGTGCCTTACAGTGCCCGCGAAACGCTGCCCAAAAATATAGTTTTAAGTGAGGGTTTTTACTGCACACTTGTGACTAGTACACCATCCCTGTTCTTTCTGACCACTGTGGGGAAGGCCCACTGTTTTTAATGAAAGTACAACATAACATGAGAAGTTTGTGCTTTCTTTTCATTCATGAAAATACTTAAGGTCACTTTGTGAACCCGGTGCTGCTCCATGTACATCAGGTTAGAGTTGCAGCTTTTCCTCACTGAGAAATTGAAACTCGTGTGTTGCTGGGAGAAGTGAGAACTTAAAATACTTTGCTGGATCTCACTTTTGCCATGCAAAATTATTGACTTACAAGCAAGACAGTTTTGCTGGTATTAATGCTGTAACTCACGACACTTTTAAGCTTGAGTCTCAATAAGCTTTCTGCACCATGGATAAGCACCCACATTAGCTACTTCAACAACCACACAAAAGATACATTTAAATTAAAATAAATGCTCAAAAGCTCTCTGGTCAAAATTTATCAACCTTTGGAGAAAGGTTTAGATTGATGCACTGTGCTGCACATACGCTTTCTGTAATTGCACGACAGGAGATAATTAACTGGGATTGATAAACCTTTCAAGCTAATGTCAGCTTCCTTTCTTCAAACAACTGGCCTACAGCCACATTGTTTCAAAGACGCAAGGAAAAATTAACAGCTTTTACTGGTGTTTGAAAAACTCAGATATACAAACTCTTTGCCTACCTCAAACCCACATTATTTCAGGACGTTAGATGCCATGATGAGGGTGACAGGGTTTCTGCATTCGCAAAGATACAAATGGTGCCAGAGTTGTTCTTTCTATGTAGTCACTATTCTTGAACAGCTTTTTGGTTTGTTTTGTTGTGGTTTTTTAGTAAACATTCACATATTTATCCTACATAGGAAAAGGGTGGGAAAATAAGATGGAAACATCTACTTTTTACTTATGATATAGGTAAATCCATCAGATGCACCAAAGCAGTCTTGGTAACAGTAGCATGATCTTCACAAAAAGTCCTCACTACTCCTAACATTAAAGAAACACCTTGACTAACCACAGAGAACAGCTGAGAGGGCTGCTAAGTTTGTTTGCATTGCTTTGCATGCACAAACATTTCTGCATCTATATTAAGGATGCTAGAAATTCCGGGAAAGCTAGTGTAAATAAGAGCAAACTCTTCAAGAAAGCATTTGAGTAAGAAAGATCTTCAATGCTGATATAAAACTTCACCCCTGAAAATCAACTGTTCCTTCAAAGAATACCATTATGAAAGAAAGCTATTCAAACTGTTCTAGTGGAAAGACAGTTCTTCAATGTTGCAGGAAGAAAGCTAGCTCCACAGGCATAGAGCATCAAATGGTCCTAGACAAACACAGTCTTTCATTACAATGAAAAAAAACCAAAACAAAACCACAAAAAACCTCACAAACAAACAAACACAAAAAAAAAAGCAAAACAAAAACACACCTAAGAGAAAAAGCAGTGCTCAGATTCCAGGTAGTGCTACAAGCCTCTAGCTTGGTAGCACTGGTAGTGACAATGCTGAAGAACTGGAAGACCAGCACCCCAAAATTCACTTCCCCAGTTTGATTGAACCCTTTGTGTCATCATGCTGAGCATCTGCTGAGACTTTTGATAAAAAGCAGGAACAGATTGAGAAACGGGCTGTATCAAAGACAAATTCACACAGAATCAGCCCACTCCACTGCAAAACCTTCAATATAAATACATTCACCCTCTGTATCAGCAGTTCAAAAAGGTTTAAAACATAAAAAGTTTAAATGAGCCACTTGACATTCACAGTTTTCCTATATAAAGCCCTCTTGAAGTTATTAGTTCTAAGATTTCACGTGGGTAACTTATATCCAAAAATTTTAAAGGTCTGCTAATAACTATCTAGAGCCATTGTGCATTGTCAATTTTTCCATAAGCAGCTTTTTAACTGAGGAGAACCCATTCATAGAATGGGTTCATAGAACAGACACTCATTCATAGAACAGACACTCATCCAACAGATACACACAATAAGAGCAGCACAGAGATACAGCCATGTCTGTAAATTTGGGCTGTGATCCTAGCCAGCCTTGACCTGCCCTTTTTGACAAGGGTCTCAAAGTTGTATGCATTGTCATTAATAAAAGCCACTCTATTAATTACATCTGAAAGTTTACTTTAAACCCTGAAGACAGTCATATGGCATTCTAAAAATGTACTGAGACTTTACTATTTTTATGTGCTGCTTATTTCAAAAGCATAAGCATGATGTTGACACCACACTAACATACCAGAGTATACTCACTCAAAGTTTCATTTGTTTCTCAGTCTCCAAGCGTGAGAGGTGACAGTGCTTTCAACTTGATCTAAACCTTTAAGTGATACTCAGCACTAAATAGTGTCTTCAGGTAAGAGTTCAGATTCTAATACCGCCACAGTGAAACATATTTTAGTTGTTATTTAGAAGTGGAAACTTATTGTCTGCTTGTGCTTCCTCTGCACTCTAAATCTAGCCACCTTTTCTCCTGTCTCAAAAAGTTTCTCTAAAAGAAGTTCATAAAAAAATGAAGTTAGGTAGTTTAAAAAGCAGTATTATTAATCTAGAAAATTATATCCATAAAGTACACTGACTGTAAAATTATATACACCATCCAGAAGATATCACACACGCAAGACTGAATCCAAAATATTGAAACAATTATATTGATTCCAGGTATTCAGTTCCATACATCTTGATGTACAAGTTCCAGTTCATAGGTTTGTATTCTAACCTTGCCTCACTCTACCATGGTGGTGAGAAATAAAGAACTACCAGCTCAAGTATCTGGTGTTTAAATGATAGTTAAGTGATGACATTTCTGTACCACACCTCTGCCTCACCGCAACAAATCTAGTCCCTAATGGTTTCCAAATAAACAGGATCTTTACACTTCAACATCCCAGAAACTGACTGATGATGATAAAAACCTGTGTTCAGTGCAAGTCAGACTTGGGCTATGGACATGTGTACAGCAGAACCACTCACTATAGGAAATGGTTACCAAAAGGAGTTTGGTATGACAAACATCCAGAGACATTTGCCTTTTCCTCCCTTTAAAGTCACCATGTGCTATACTGATTTTAATTTGGTGAGGGCAGAAAGGCTCAATCACATTTTCTCTTTCTTGAAGACAAAGTTTTATTGTTGAACGTGCTAATTCAGCTCTCCGATAGGTTTTCACTTTCCCCATACTGCAGTATTCTGCAAAGAACAGTCTCAGTGCAGATAATCAACAATTCCAGCTCTCTGGACTTTAGCGGAGTTTTGACAATTTACACCTGTTTCCTGGGTTTCCATGTTGAGACTGACATAAGATAGCTGCTCTGGCCACAGCACCACTAACCAACGACACAACAAAGCAGTTTGTCTGCTCTTAAGTGGGAGGCTAAGCCTTTTGAATGAATTAAATCTCACGTGTAGATGGCAAGAATGAAATTCTTGTTTAAGAATTAAGTAACATATGAAATGGATTTAAGATGTTCTTAGAACACCAGGAGCATAAAATGGTGGTTTCCCCATTTTTTGCACTCTTCTCTAAGCAGTGCCTAATTTGCACATGGGGACCATTTGTTAGGTTCACCATTCTTCTTGCTTTCTTCAGCTGCCTGCAAATCAATACAAATCTTGTCTTTAAGGTAAGGACTGTACTGGACATTCCATCTCACAGAGTGACCAATCCTCCTTTGAGCGAACAGGTTTGAAGAAAACAGGAGCAGAAGAGACATAAATCCAGTTTGTCTTCAGTGCAAAGCCACTGATTTTCACCATTTAATTAAGGCTTCACCAAAAAGAAATACATAGTACCATCTTTAATAGCTGAAAATTAGCACACTCCTTTGAGAACAAATGGTCCATGAGCAACTTCTGTGCCTCTACCATCAATTGTCTTCCTGAACAAAGTAGTATCTCACAGGGGGCCCTGGCAAGTCTTCTTCTCCATCAGTCTCTGGAGCAAATGATACTGTCAAATCCACATACTTCTTATCAGGTGATGGTTTCACAAGTTTTTGCATCCTATAGAGAAATAAAGCAGAGTTTGTTAATATACCAGAAAGAGGATTGGCAGTGGGAATTCAGGATCAGACTAGGATAAATTTCACTGCCAGCAATACATACTGGTCTAACATACTACAGGTCAAATTAAAATGAAGAATTAAGCAATTAAGCCACCTTTAAATTTTGACACAAAAGCTGTTTCTCCACCC